GCCAGAAGTTATTTTGTAAAAAAAGTCTTGCAATGCTGAGGTGTGATAGCTTGCATGCCAGAATCGCTAGATAGAAATACTATTTATTTCCCTGAAAGGCCTTGAATTTTGCCTCTCCAATTTGAGATAACATCTGTTTCTAGCTCTGCTGAATCATGAGATATCAGATGTTAAAGCCTGTCATTGGTTCAAGACAAAATATTATCTGAAATTGAGTGAAATATTTAGAAGAAAAAGGAAATTATTTTGTGTAGTAAGCATTTTTTTAATGTGAGCTGTTTTGAAAGTTGTTTAGTGGTTTGAAAGGTAAAAAGTAGTTCAGGCAGAGAGAAACTACTGGATATAATGCATGTGAAGAGGTGAAAGGTGAAATAGCTGTTATAGTTGACAGTTGTATACAGATATGTGTGTACACACACACACAGTTTATAGTTTACAGTTATAATAGTTTGTCAACGGTTGACTGAAACGCAAGAAAATATCATAAGCCCCTCTTCTGACTACACGTCTGAAACCATATGCTGTATACTCACCATAATCACAGAATCACCAACTGCTGCATCCTCACTGATGACTGCACTGTACAGCACCTGACTAAATTTTGGAGCATTGTCATTAACATCTGTTACATTTATGTTCACTGTAGTAACAGCACTGAGGGCTGGAGTACCTCCATCTTTTGCTTCCACCACGAGGTAGAAATCTTTACATGTTTCATAGTCCAGTGCTTCGATTACAGAAATGGCTCCTTTAAAGCAAAAGAGAAAACGTTAACAGATTTAAAAAGTGATAAGCTATTAGCAGTCATTGCCACTAAGTTTGGCTATTGCACATAATGCAATACATTATAGATTCATAGACTGTAGAGTCGGAAAGGACCCAATGGATCATCATGTCCGACCCCCTGTCCCTCGCAGGAAAGAGGACAGTTATTCTCCCTGTAAAGCTGTTATTGTCCCTGTAAAGATTAATTAATTGATATCAAGCTGCTCTAAAATACTGACTCTCATGGCAGGACCTTCATATGATTCAGAACTACGAATGGGCTCTCATAACAGCAGATTAATAGCAGTGCTTTATGTGGGTAAACTGAGGCACTGCAGTTCAATGACCTGCCTGGACTCACATAGACAGTGGCACAGCTGCAAATAAAACCCAGAAATAGTGATTTATAGTTCTGCATTTTGAACACAACAGACACTCCATCCAAAATGTTCACATCTACGTGACAAGGTAAGCTCCTAAATCTATCTGCCTGAAGATCTGGTTTGTCCAAACAACCAGACGCCTACAACCTAAACTGAAATATGTGGGAGCTCTAGGATTGTGAAGGGATTTGAAAACCTGGTTATTTTAATCAGGTGTCCACATACTAATTTAACATAAGCCAACTGGTATAAAAATGGTTCATGTGCATCAAGGCGCTTTTTCTAAAGCTCATTAAATTTAGTACCTCCAATGTGAGGGTACTAAAGAAATGTGCATTAGACTGCCTTAATGCACAGTAATGAATGCACATGGTTTTTAAGTGACACTTAATGCATAATAGCCTATTTTATTGCACATTAGTATAATTGCACAGTTCTTTATATGATGCTTTAATGTGCAGTAAAATAGGCTATTGAGCATTAAAGTGCACGTGTAGATGCACCCAGTTTCTCTGTGTCCAATGACTGAGTAAGCTTTTACCTTATCACATTCACATAAGAAGACAACTCTTAGGAGAGAATTGAAGTGCACATTCTCTATTTGTTTCCCTAAGCCCTAACCCTAAGCCCTTCCAAAACCATTAACTAGAGTTGTGTTTTTGTGGGGAGCCATAGAGTGGGCACTGAGTATGGAGAAGGCATTGAGGGAGGGCCCACATCTTGTCAGCATGATTTGCTTCCAGTAGAAGCCCCAAGGACAAGCAGGGGAGAAGCCTGTTGTGGCCAGTAGGAAGCTCCCACTGATAAACAGGGATCCGGGCTTTCTGTTCCTTGTGGAAAAAAAGTGGATTTTCCCCCTTTGCAAACAGTTCTCTGCAGGCTGGCAGAGTTTCAGCCTTCAAAAACTGCTTGTAAGAGGGCAGGAAACCCTAAGCCCTGTCTGCAGGGGGTGGGCACAGGGGTAGGACCTGAGAATCTGAGTCAGCCAGGGCCAGCTTAAACTCACTTTCCCTCCTGTAGACTATAGGGTAAATAGGGCCCTGGGGGTGGGGGGCCACTAGAAGCACCCTCTGGAAGGATTGGGGGGACTCTGTGGGTGAGGGTCATGCTGCCAGGGGGACCAGGGCCAGCAAGGAGAGGTGGCAGGGTAGGAGGGGGGCAGGGGTGTGTGGGTGGCAATCACCCAGTCCTATGCCATGAGCCAAGGCCAGGGCAAGTGTGGGCTGCCTCATCCCACTGTGGCTCATCCCAGTTGGGTTCAGGCTGGGGCTGGGGCTGGGGCCGCTGCCCAACTGGAGCAGCAATGGCAGCAGCTCAGTGCGGGAGGGAGGGAGGGAAGGAATGCATGCTGCCCCCTAGGCCAGGCACCCTTGGGGCAGGATTAGGGATTGGGGCTGAGGGTGCTGCCAGATGGGGTGGTACCTGGGGCCAGGGCACTGAGGGCGAGCATCGCCCCTCTGCTGTGCTAGTGGCTGCTACCCCACTGCTCACTGCACCACATCCCACTGGTCTGTGTCTGTGGCAGCTGCTGGCAGCTCTGCTGGAGCTAGTGGCTGGGGGCGCACTGTGTGACAGGACACAAGGAGGGGAGGGGAGGAAGATGAAGGAAAGGAGCACTGGCAGAG